CTCTTCTCGTTATGCATCCTTGCACTGGTTTACCTTCTGCTTCACCATACTCCTCTCCCTCCTCTATCAGCTTCCATGTATCCATTGAGATCCATTTCTCATCTTCTTTCTTCTTTCTTCCTAATACTGTTGTGCAGGTTTCTTTCCCCTGGCTTTCAAAGACTTCCAGTATTCTTCTACACAGGTGTCTTCAGGGATGTTGCTCGATATCTCCCATTTTGTCTTGATGACTGGCTGACGTGAAGATTTCCTTTGCAGTTTCGTCCTTCGATTTTCGAGTGTTGTACATGAACTGTGGTATATCACCAGCTTCCTTGAAGGCTTTTAAATTGCTTTGGAAGGTTCATTGCACTAGATAGTGAAGTGAGTGGTGTGAACCTACATTTGCTCATCTTCTTCATCTGATCTGGTGTCAAGTAGGTTGACTTCATCTCCACCTCCATCTTGAGATGGAGGTGAAATCTATCTGATTTTTAGTGTAGTGTGTCCATCTGATGAAATCAAATGCATGTCGCTCGGTTTGTGAATATCCTTGTGCTTGTACACACTGCCTCCAATCACCAGATCGTTGAATGCACAGAATTCTGCAAACAGCTCTCCATTCTCGTTCATCACCTCACAGAGCGCTTCTCGACCTATGGTTAGTTCTCTTCCTGTGATGTCTTCTCCCAGTTTAGCATTCATGTCACCTCACCCATTAGAATTTTGATATCGCCAACTGAGGTCTTGTCCAGTGTTGATTGGAGTTGTCTGTAGAATTCCTCCTTCTTCTCTTCATCTGCATTATTTGTAGGTGCGTAGCATAGCATTGTATGATTATGACCTTCCTTCCTTTCGAGTTGAATCCATCTTGCTCTCATCATCCTGATCCTGTAGGTGGAGATTGGTTCCCACTGCATGACAGTCAGCCTTCGATGCTCTCCAGGACATCATGATAGCCACTCCAATACACAGTGTGATCGTAGTTGTCGTCTGGGTGACAATATTGGAGTAGATTATTGACTCGTCTCCAGTTGACAGTTTGCAGAGTTCACTCCCATTCCATTTACTTTCGCAAATTCCAAGCACTTCAATGTGATACCTCCTCATCTCATTTGCAATGTGGGCTGCCTTCCTGGGTTCAAACATCGTGCAGATATTCCATGTCCCCACATTTACTTTCGCTTTCGCTGAGAGAGAGGAGCCACATCGGCCAATCGGCTTGCCGAAGGCAGGCTTTCACCAACCGGTGTCATTTTGCCTCTCTGATTCCAGCTAGGAATAATTTTATTTTTGTTTTTTATATTTTGCTTGTGCTTTGGAGTTTGTTTAGTGGTTATATTTGTTTTTCGTGGTAGGGTTGGTAGCCGTATGCCCAACCTTTCCTCTTTATGTTGGCTTAGGACGCGCTAGTAACTAGTGAACTAGTTAACCAAGCGATGGTGATGCGACCAAAATTTCGTTGTCAACCTTTTTAACCAAGGAACTGAGAATTATTTCAAGGTGACAACCAACAACTCATTCACACTAAGGTTGCTGTCCAAAGAACTTCATAATTCAAGTGTAACTAAAAAATATGATTTTGCCAAATATGTGTAATTTGTTTAGTTGGATGACCTAACTACAGACCCTAGTCAGTTAGGCAAATAGAAAAGTTGACGTCATTATCAAGTGGGGCAAAAAAGAATTGTGAATAAACTATAATCCAAAGGTTAACATACTGAACTTAAAGAGACTAACATAGATGAGTTTATTTTCATAACCTTACTGTACTAGTCATTACTGTGATATATCTGCAAACGGAGTTAGTATTCTTGAGAAGTACTACACTTCACTGGACATATGTTAAGTAAAGTTGATAAAATTATCTCTTGCTTAAAGTTAGACAATGGGAAGTTTAATATCATATCAAACAAATGAATTTTTCTTATCAGTCATCAGTGAGACATTCACTCAAAAACATTAAATTGAATTATTTTGCCGAAATAATTATCCATTTTTCAGGTAAAGAAAAAAATTACAATCTTTCTCGTTTATCTAATTTTATTTCTAATACACACATGGATTATCAACCAAATTTCATCTCATCATACAACCTTTTTCAAGTATTTCCAATTTTGCATACTTTACTTGAATGCAAATAATTCATGTTTGTATTAGACAGATAATTACAGAAAAAGTAAAATTTTCTTAAAGAATTTTTCCACCAAACATCTAAATGTATAACGTGTTTTTGTCAAATTAAGAATCGAAAAATTTGTCTAAATAAATTATTTCGAAAAAATCTAATTTTTGTTGTTGTAAAAGTCACAAATATTTGGTAGCGTTTCAATGATTAAATTATTTTGTTTAAAACAGCTTAGATAAAAATGAAGGTGATTCCATTCTAGTTGCCTGAGAAGTTCATAATTTCCGAAAAATTTCAAGCAAGCGTAACTTAATCGTGCATTACTATAATTTGTAGGAGAAACAAAGATATCTGGAAGAGATATTTTAGGCTTCATTTAACATCACGACTTAAAATGACAAACACATGAATTCTCTATGTGTACATCCCAAAATTTCATTCGATTAATTTCTGAAACTGTTTACAGATGCTTGAAGCAAAATCATGTTCCTGTCCAACCAAGCAAAATATTAGACCACATGATCCTAGAGAGACTAAATTGCGACCGCAACAGGCTGGCTGCCTCCAGGAAGAACAAATCATGTGTGGATCGAATTGCAACGCTACACTACGCATCATCATAAGAAACAGAGCACAAAATGGGAGAATGAAAACTCTTTGCCTCTACTTCATCGACTTTTCAAAAAACCTTCGACTGATAGCGTAGACTGAGAAGCGATTTGGCAGTTGCTTCAATACTACGGAGTGAGTGCCATGAACCTGTACCAACCTCATTCAACAGTAGCTATATGCTATATGAGGATGCTACATGCCAAGAGATTCACAATGGAAGGCTCAGTGGTACCTTTGAAGAGAAGCGAAGACAGGACAGCGTAAGATAAGGTTACAGCCTACTGACACCGATGATCTGCCTCATTGTGGTTGACTCGACTCGGCTGGATCATGCAGCAAACTGTGAGGAGCGAGAAGATGAGCAAACGCTGACTGGATCGATGAGAACGCCCCCAGAAGACTGTTTGGATTTTGCCAACGATGATGATTTATGTCTAATATCTAATGTCACAAACTCGAAGATCTACAGATGAAAGCCAACAAGTTGAAAGAAGAGGTGAGACAATGAACACAGCACTTCCTTCAGGTGAATGTAGTGAAAACGGAGGTGATGAAGATACCCAACCAACAACAATACCAACAACAACAACGAGCACTAATCACCATCATTGGGAGAAATCTGAAGGAAGTTGTCTCTTTCACCTGCCTGCCTAGGCACCATCGTTTCAACTAAAGGCAGAACAGGCACAGATGAGGACGTCAAAACCAGAATCGGAAAACAGCAAGACAGGCCTTTATCACTCTGAAATCGGTGTGGAGATCTACTGCACTGCAGTCAGCAAAAAGCGTGAACAAGATCCAAATTTTCAACACTAATTCAGTTAATTGAGTCAATGGTTCTTTGTGATGGTTGGGAGACTTGGCACATCACGGAAAGCATTTCCAACAGCTACCGCCTACACTCACTTGGTACTGACACTAAAGATCAGATGGCCAGAATGATCAGAATAAGCAACAAGGAACTCTGACTGGCTGGCTGGCTGGCAACGAACCAACCAAGAACCCATCGCCCAACAAATATGCATAGGGGAAACTGGAGATGGATTGGATTGTACATACACTGAGAAGACGATTTGGGGACATGAAGCATGGGGCCAGGCCATCAAGTGGAATCCAAATGGGAAACGACGAGTTGGGCTTCCGAGGTGAGGGTGACATGGAGAAGATGGTGTGAGGAAGAAATGAAAGTTTATGGGTAGTCGTGGATCCAGATTCGAAAGACTGAAGAGAACAGAGTGAAATGTAGGTGTGCTACTGAAGTCTTATGTTCCACTAGAAACCCAAGGGACAAATAAATAATAAAATATGACAGTGGGATCTAGGATGCGTATTAACTACTGTCAAATGCCATCACTGTTCTTGTCATAGATCAATCACTGAGTATTAACTAATAATATGTTGTGAAGTTCTGAGTAATGATACCGTGGTTTCAGTTATGTTCTTGAAGAACGTCAGTCAATGGAGAGCCCAGTTTGACTTGATAAGTGGTGGGGATGACGTCTGACAGCAACACTGTGTGGTGTTCTCCAAATTGCAGAAAATTCTTTCTGATATATGGAAACATCTTAAAGCCTGGGTTGACAGCTACTTTGAAGCTGCTCTCACAGATTCAGTATTATGCTGATACCAAAAGCCTTTCACCTGTATTTTCATTGGGTTGGTGTCACAAGGTTATAACATTATAATTTCCCAAACTCTTAGATGGTTGAAGGAATAAACATGAAAATAAAGTTAACTGGAAATCAGAGCCACATATAACACCTATATAATATCTGTAAAATTCTAATTGTCTCAGGTATAACTGAAAAATTTAGCTTAAAAGTCTCTCACGCAACTATGTTATGGTAAAAAGGTGTTTGCGTATAATTTCTTCACAATATGAGTTTTCATGCTTGGTAAAAATTTCAAGAACACGTTCCGCCAAGAAAACAACATCGGGTAGCTAGACTGAAAGACAACAGAAAACTAGAATAGAGTTTCTAGCCCATCTTTAAGCTCTGGGTCAGGTTCATACTGAGCATTCGTTTGTCACATACACTGAATATGAAATAGTTAATTAGATGTTGTTCCTGCTCCGTCAACTCTGAATAGTTTGGACAAGTTTATATCAATGAAATCTTACTCGAACTCTGTCTCTAACTGTTATTCAATGAGTGATTCTAGACGGTGATACTTCGTACTGAAATAAACAAATTAACTCTTTAATTGAAGTCTGTGTAAAACTTTTAATTCTATTCTGAAAGGAGCAAAAGTAGATAAAATAAAGTGGATTACATCTTACCATAATTTCACCTGGTAGCCATTGAGATGTTCCCCAATAAAATGTCCATCCAAGGTGAATAAGATGTGTACAAGTTCGAACAACTTCTTCAACTGGAACTGGTAGATCATTTTGACGTGTTACAACTACAATGTCCACATATTCAAGTTGAAGTCTTTCCAAGGAAGAACGAAGACCTTATTAGGCAAAAAATTAGAAACAATTTCACACCTAAGTTTCAGGGCTTATGTATACTAATAACGAAACTATGTTAAAGTGCAAGGTAAAACAAGTTATTCTTCGCATAAACTTACTAGTGAACAGGAATTGCACTTGTTTCTGATTCAGTAAACTGTATCGATATGTTGTTTCATTACCAATCTTTGTTTTCTCAATAAACTCTCCGCTTTCGAAAGTAAAGTATTCTCTTTTGCATTGTTTTGTAGTGTATTTTTTCTTCTTGATGAAAGACGTTTTCTTCTACGCTTCACTAAACTTTTCAATATGATGCATATTATTTCATCTTAAATGAACTTAAATGCCTTACTTGCATATTTCAGTAATGTAATGCTCACCTCTTGTTCAGTTTGGAATGCTAAAGACTATAGTCCACACAACGTTGATTTTCTCTGTATATTATCTTGGACTAGAGTAGGATAGCGCAGTTATTTACTTTGTACACGGTTTTTCTTATGGGGTATAAGCTTTATAGATTTATTCCTGAATTTCTGACCACTTACTCTCGATACCCAACACCATATTTGACTTTCTGGCATAAATTTGTATCTGAGCTCTAATACTGTGGTAAGAACCTAAACAGTACTAAGTGTAGTGCCTCTGGGGCCTAATAGATAGCGCTTTTGCATTTGAAAGCGATGTATAAAGTCTCAGTGGAAACACCACCACTCACTGGGCTGTAGGTACATTTAGCTAAAGTCCCAAGCAGGAGTGAACATATTAAGCCTGGATTCCACAGCTAACAATCAGTCTAGTTGGAAGTAGCTGGAATTACTCAACTGAACTGGACCAAAGATCATTTTATCGGCGTTAAAGTGCCTATTGGTTTGTTTCGGAATGTATTCACGGTTGAACTGATAGTTTTTCATAAAGCATAAATCAGATAACAGGCGTATTCCATAGATGCTTGTATGCTGTTACAAAACCAGTAGAATACGAAAACCTTTTCTGATGGATAACCTTACGTTAAACGTAATGTCCATCAACAGGTGCTACTAATTGTCAGGCTTCTACAGCAGTAGCACCGTTGTAGACAGTCTCCGTGTAGGTCATTCTAAGTGATTAGGCAGACGGTTTTGAGGCGATGTAGCTAATCCATCTACAAACTTGCATCTCAGGAAAATGATGATAACTCAAATAGATAATGTCTTCACTAATTGACATTGCGGTCGGTCTTCTGTGCATTTTGTATTACACTTCACTAAGATTTCAGTACCCGTAAATTCCTGCTCTGATCAAACTTGGAAGCAGCATCTTTATTACTGCACTGTGTACGTCAGAAATTACTGCTGAATAGTGATTTGGTTATTTCGATACTGCTGTGATGTCGTGAATATCAAAAGGCAAAATGGAGCCGGAAATGATTAAATAAGGACTAAATCCTCCTGAAATGACCGTTTTGGTTATCAAAACATACATATTTATTGAGAATGGAGCTGCGAATAAAATAATGACCACCAAAATATGTATCAGTAGTTCTGTTTTTAACATCACAAGCTGTCTGAAAACATTTTATCCTGAATATTATAAGTTCCTTCTGCTTCCAAAAAATACGGGAGTGTTTTGAGTAAACTACATAGTACACCTCAAGAATTTCCCCTCTCTACCATCTATTTATGGGAGTGTTCACAGCGAAAGCCTTAACTATTTACTATCAAAAAAAGCATGATTATATAAATTGTCTAGAAACGTAAAAAAGCTTCATGAAATCAAACAGATCTCAATAATTATGCGCAAATTCATTTTGATAGTACAGATATCACGGTAAATATACTTCATGTATGTCACAATTGGGAAAATTGACTTTTGATTATATACGGTAATTCATATAAATATATTTAAAGGGCATGAATGTGCGCCCTTGAAATGAAGACAGGAGTGAAACACGGTCGCCTACTATCACCCATGATATTCCTGATTGTAGTGGACTGGACTGGATCATGCAACAAAATGTGAGGAGCGAGAAGAGGGGGATAAGCTGAATGGAACGATGAAAGAGGCTAGAAGAATGTATGGATTTCGCCAACAATGACTTATGTCCAACGTCGTACAAACTTGAAGATCTACAGACAAAATCCAACAAGTTGACAGAAGAGGCAGAGCAGGGCAGACAAGGAAGACGGAACCTCAAGTGAACGCAGAGAAAACGGAGGTGATGAAGATATCCAATCAACAACAACACCAGCCACAACAAGCTCCAGTTACTATCGACGGGAGAAACTTAAAGGAAGTAGTCTCCTTCACCTATCTAGGCAGCACTGTTTCAACTATAGGTGGTGGTACAGATGAAGATGTCAAAGTCAGGCGTTCATTAACCTGAAACCAGTGTGCATATCTTCTGTACTCAGCATAAAGCGTGAACGAGTTCCGGATTTTCAACACAAATTCAGTCAAGTCAGTTCTTTCATATGGTTCAGAAACTTGGTGCGTCACGAAAAGCATTTCCAACAAACTACACACATTCATCAACAACTGTCTACGCTGGCCCCTCACTGAAGATCAGATGGACAGAACAATAAGTATGAGCAAGAAGGAACTGTGGCTGGTGATGAACCAACCGAGAACGTATCACTCAACAAATATGCAGAAGGAAGTGGAAGTGGAGGAGGATTGGACATACACTGAGAAAGCCGACTGGGAACATCATGCGTCAGGCTAGTCGCTGAAGTGGGACCCAGATGGTAAATGGCGAGTTGGGTGTCCGAGGAGAGGGTGACATGGAGGAGATCGTGCTGGGCGTAAATGAGAGCTTGTGGGTTGTCGGTGGAGCCATGTTGAGAAGATTTGAGAGAAGAGAGTGGAATGGTGATGTGCTACTGAATCCGTATGTTGGTTTAGGAACCCAAGGAACAAATAATAAAATAATATAATAATTTACAAATATATTCAGAAGGTATGAGTGAGTACAGTGATAATACAAGTCATTCTTAGAAGTGTCAATCATCTGACAAGTTTAGCTATTGTAAAATTATATCTGTACAGCTCACTGAATTGAATTTGAGTTTTATACGAAGAAAATGTTTCAGGAAACTGCTTGATGACTGTAATATCTAGTGGTTAAGGAAATGAAATATTGTTCCAAATCCAACTCACATTTAGTTGAATAAAGTTTTTACAGTTTAGACACTACAACACAATGTCAAGTTATTTAGCCTAGCTGCTATATTGTAAGTATAGTGGATTCAATTTACTGAGTAGTCAGAAGGAGATATGAATAACTCATTCTATATTATTCTTCCCCCTCTTAAATTGAAACAGAGCGAGAACAACAGCTTTAACAGAATAACATGAATCCATTTTATTTCGTAGTTTCTTATCCGCTACTTACAATCTAAAACAATTTAACGCCAATTAACACGACATGCTTACATACTGAAGTTAGTACTGATGATGTCGTCTAGAAAGACGATGAAAGTTTTATGAATAAACAACCCAGCTCAGAGAACACAATACAACCAAGATGTTTACACAGTGGAATCAGTTTGATTGGAGAGAACTAAAGAGATGAAGTAACTGAAAACTTACAAGTGAGTGAATACTTGTTCAGAAGTAACCTGTGATACAGTCGAGAAGAATCTTGTTCACCTAAATCTTGGTTTCAAAGATGATGACGATTTCAGTATAAACAATTACAGAGTAAATGCTACCTAAAAAAGAAGTTATCCAGATGCTAGGTTAGTTGCACTCTACCGAATGAATCTTTCACCGAGACAATACAAGGTTGACAAGTCCTCTCTGCACTTTACCTCCAGCTGCATCTCCAGTTCACGTTTACTTGGCAAAGTGCATACATTCGACAAGTAAAAAGGAAGGCTTGTGATTCCATGTCTGAGCATATTCCAAGGAATTCGCGACCGTGCGGTGGAAAAGTTTTCTACAGCGTTATTGTTCGTCACCTTACTGATAGAGTACATTAGGTCCATAATGGGTTTCTGATTACTTTACACTTCGTAACCTTGACCTAGTTATTTTAATTCTTCCCACATTAGCTCTCATTTACCATAAATCGTCTGCCCTTCATATATTTTTGATATTCTGAATACAGTTGTCTTCCTCCTTTTATACATCTCCCACTCTCAAATATTCATGTAGTCATTCTATATGTTAAAAAAATTACCTCGGCATGTTGGTTCTGCATATGTATTCACTCAATTATGGGTTTTCAATTACTTCAAATTGATGTTATCTTTAATTGAAATTGACAATCTTCTATTAAACTGATTAGACTTTGTGAGCATTTTGCATTAACTGATGTCAAAATTATCTTAGGTTGTAAGCAGCTGATGAGAAACCATTAAACAAAATGGATCCATGTTATTCCGTTAAAGCCAATATACTCACTCTACTTACTCAACACCAGAAAATGTGCCAGTGTATCTTTAGAAGTGAACTAAATTGGTACTTTTAAAATATTTTAATGTTCATATCAAAGCAAAGTGATTTGTTAATCACTCAAAAATTTTATAGTTGATCTAGAAGTAACTTAGGATTATTTCCGGTCATAAATCAAAACTTTTTTTAGTCAAAATGAATTAACACTGAAATTGATGAATGTTTATATTGACAGCGAAAAGAAACAATAACGAAAAAAACCCAAAAATCTTCAGCTCATTTTATTTTCATTATATATATTTTATTTTATTACTTGTCCCTAGGGTTCCTAAACCAACATACGGATTCAGTAGCACATCACCATTCCACTCTCTTCTCTCAAATCTTCTCAACATGGCTCCACCGACAACCCACAAGCTCTCATTTACGCCCAGCACGATCTCCTCCATGTCACCCTCTCCTCGGACACCCAACTCGCCATTTACCATCTGGGTCCCACTTCAGCGACTAGCCTGACGCATGATGTTCCCAGTCGGCTTTCTCAGTGTATGTCCAATCCTCCTCCACTTCCACTTCCTTCTGCATATTTGTTGAGTGATACGTTCTCGGTTGGTTCATCACCAGCCACAGTTCCTTCTTGCTCATACTTATTGTTCTGTCCATCTGATCTTCAGTGAGGGGCCAGCGTAGACAGTTGTTGATGAATGTGTGTAGTTTGTTGGAAATGCTTTTCGTGACGCACCAAGTTTCTGAACCATATGAAAGAACTGACTTGACTGAATTTGTGTTGAAAATCCGGAACTCGTTCACGCTTTATGCTGAGTACAGAAGATATGCACACTGGTTTCAGGTTAATGAACGCCTGACTTTGACATCTTCATCTGTACCACCACCTATAGTTGAAACAGTGCTGCCTAGATAGGTGAAGGAGACTACTTCCTTTAAGTTTCTCCCGTCGATAGTAACTGGAGCTTGTTGTGGCTGGTGTTGTTGTTGATTGGATATCTTCATCACCTCCGTTTTCTCTGCGTTCACTTGAGGTTCCGTCTTCCTTGTCTGCCCTGCTCTGCCTCTTCTGTCAACTTGTTGGATTTTGTCTGTAGATCTTCAAGTTTGTACGACGTTGGACATAAGTCATTGTTGGCGAAATCCATACATTCTTCTAGCCTCTTTCATCGTTCCATTCAGCTTATCCCCCTCTTCTCGCTCCTCACATTTTGTTGCATGATCCAGTCCAGTCCACTACAATCAGGAATATCATGGGTGATAGTAGGCGACCGTGTTTCACTCCTGTCTTCACTTCAAAAGCATCACAAAGCTTCCCATTGTGAATTACTTGGCATGTGACGTCTTCATAAATTTGTTGAGTGATATTGATAAAGTTTTGTGATATTCCTTAGTATTGAGGCAGTTTCCAAATTACTTGTCGGTCGACGCTGTCAAAGGCCCTTTTGAAGTGGATGAAGTTTGGTCAAGGTGGAGGGTTAACTGCCCTTCTATACTCTGCCGTATGATGATGCGAATTGTTGCAACTCATCGAGGAATTTTATCTTAAGTGAGATTATTCTTAGTAATTTTTTTAGTAAATTATAAGGATAGAAATTTCAAGCTTATCTGAAGGGCATTGAAGCTGATGTCTGCTGTAGATAATCTGTGAGATATTTATAGCTAGTGATTATTTACCAGCAGTCTGATCGAATTTTTCAACAACATAGTGAAAATGATTCTCAAAATAGTCAATTGGTGTAACTTTGTTAAGGGTTAAGTATCGCAACATCAATAATACATCAATGTGCTTTTATCTATTAACCTAAAATCCAACTTTAGGATATTTGCAGCCTTCTGAAAATTGATTTATGAAACATATCAACAGCATCTGCCAATCGTGAAAAGACCAGAATATATCGCTTCTGTCTTTATGAAGCATTCAGTACTTGACGTTACTGTGGGTATTTATGACTTCCAGTGCTTTCATTTTAAGAAGTAACAAGTAATATGAGTAACAACTGATTTCCTGTTTCTAAGCAATAATTGATCAATTAATTCTACCATAATATAGAAGGTGAGCAGAAAAGTTATCAACAGTTATCACTATCAGTCCACGAACAATAGTTACTGAAAATCACTTGCTTTCATCTGCTGTGAACAATGAAAAAGAAGCTTTTTTGGATTAAATGTTTGGACCGTGACGTGATTCAAACCAGCAACTGCTAGTTTTTGGTCTCACATTCTACCAGGTGAGCAGAGATATCCATTGTTCACTGGTCCAAATCTTGCTGTGGTACGAGTTTTCATCTCATCTTCAATCATCACCCAGTATCAATGCAAGCCTGTCAAACCACGGCTATTTCAGATAATCAAACTTATAAGGTATATACTGGGCTAGTACTTTCACGATATTATCAAAGAATAAGATTTTAACCTTTAAATCAAATGAAGTTAGGGGAAAAAACTGAATTTTTTTCTGTAGTATTGTCTTTCTTTTCTGGTTTTTAGCTTGAATAAGGATAGAAGTTCACGTAAGGTTGTTTTAGGTTGATTGTGTAAAGCATCATTTCGAAAATTTTGGAATCTCTATACGAATTTCTCATCATTTAATAAGATTGAATACACTAATTCTATCTTGACTGAATTCACCGGTATTGTTACAGAATATACCTTGACTTCAGGGTTTATTTTATTGAGAATGAATTAAAACGTGTAATAAGTTTTTACTTTTCTTTTGACTGTCAATCAATCCATTATATTACCAGTATGCAGATGAATAGATCAGTAATTTGGCTGCTAGAAATCTGGTTATATTTTTCCCTATAAATAAAGTCTATCTTAAACGTCATCCTGTTTACCCAGGGTATAGAATCAAAATATTAGACATTAGTTTCACCTTTTTATAATATATTGGCTTGAAATATTTCACCTACCAAAAGGTGTTTCCACTTTCATCTGATCTGTCAGTTGACGACATTATTTCATCATTTCCTTTTACGTAATCTTTAGGTATGTATTCTTAATAAGTATATCATAGTTGAAAAGAGTGTGGACGATTCACTAAGCTGTAGACAACATTAGTGTCGAAATCAAGAGTTAGTAGGGATATGACTGATGGTAAACGATATTACATTCCGTCTAATTTAAGGATACAAGTTTTAGTTATAGTCATTACGGAACAGTTCTTTTTAGATTTCATTTACTCGTCAAACTACTTCCACTCATACTTTCTTTCACAACTCAAAATGGGCTTAAATATATGTCATGAATTGATATTCATCTGATTAAAGTTTTAGAAGGGTGTACCAAAGATAAAAACTTGCATGAAGTGGCCTATAGGAAGACACAGAAGACAGAGTGGGTTTGATGGCCTTCTATTCTCTAACACGCTGGCTGCGACCAGGAAATATGATGAAACCTTCCTGAAGAAAGATATTCCATCAGGTTTCACGATTACATGACCTCAGAAGCATTAAGCACAAACATTTATTAGTGTTTCAGGAAGAAAAAGAAAAACTAATCTTTCACTCGGTCTATGATTTTCATTGTCACCTCAATTCAATAATGAGGATGCTAAGGTAAATTACGTGGAAGAGCTGGTAGGACAGTTAATAGGAAATGACAATTCAACTTGTCATTCAGTAGCTTCAAACCGTCTCTAGTCTACTGTCAAGTGAACAGTAAAATCCAGTAGATCTTAAAAACTAATACGTGTAAATGAAAACATTCCTGTAATCTGCCTGTATAGTGAGAATCGCAAGTAACTAACCTGTAAATCAACAAAACATCTACACAATAATCATGAGCAGCAGTGGAAGATCATGGCTGAAGAGATGACATATCAAGTAGCGAAAATCGACGGGAAAAAGCTGTCTAAATTCAAGAATCTAGGATCTATGTATATATGGTTAACAAATTTAATCGATTTATTGTACACCCTGAAAGGTCAGCATAATTTACATTTAAGGATCTTGGCTCAGAATTATTGCCCATATTGGCGCCTTGCTTGAACTTTGGGCTACCTCATCTTACCATGGAATATATTACATCAAATTTCTCCTTTATACATTGTTTTATGTCATCTAGTCGTATTATATACTAGCACCTATTTTTAAAATCATTACAGCCTATAGCTCTACATCAAGTTCTTTGTTTTCAATTTGTTTGAATCATTTAATTATGCCTTCTAGGCGTGCTATGTATGCTAGCAAAGTTTTAAAATTTTTCAGCTAGCCATTCCTTGAGTAGATAACAAAATGACGGAAAAGTATCAAGTTCAATAGAAGGAGGTCAGTCACGGCCCGAATAGCTCAGTGGTAAAGTCACTGACTACAACACTGGGTGACGCGGGTTCGAATCTCAGGCAGAACATCAGTTCCGTCGAAGTTGCCGATACACCATGCTGACGAGTGCCAAAAAGCACGAAACCTAAGTAGAGCAGGGCTTCCTGCTGATTGACTCTAACCAACTAATATCGATAGAAACGAATTTTTCATTGTGTAAAAATTCATTACATTTCTACTCATTGGATACATGACTCGAATGGTAGATTCTTTTGTTAGCTAAATGAACCGTCACCATCGAACCTACTTTCAATTTTCTGTAAATCCTCCACTCTAGATTGAGAACTAATCCAATACTAGCTGAGTGTTCAAAATCATTGCCAATGCAGTAAGCGTTTTGTCCGAATATATTATCCTGGTAGTTCATTTTGTATAAAGAAAAATATTTGCAATAAAATGAAAAGTATTGTTATTATTATAAGGATGTTGTTCAACATAGTTTTGATCGGTAACGTCTCATGCATTCCTGTAGTTACAGATATATATTCTGTCATTATGACAAAACCGAAAATTGTGTTGATTCTCTTGAGAAATAACTTTTTTAGATCTAGTGAATTCAGGGACTTTGATGTTTAACATAGAAAAAAATTTAAGTATAAGCAATAAGATTGTATATATTTACCTTCAAAAAGATGCTTTCTTGAAAGTCCCTGTTCTGTTTGAGCTCTGAAAATGAAAAGATATTCTTTTCTTTTTCGTATAAAATATATGGAAAGATTTTAGTATGTTTCTAAAAGCAGACATTTTATGAAATTCAGTAGTTAATATCATCATTAATTATTATGTAGATTATTTTTTTATCCAGTCTTATCTTGTCGAAACACTATATCAAATAAAAGTCCTTTTTATTATCCCTGGACACGGCTGATTTGTATCATCAATGAAAATATGAGGTACCAGCAATATAAATTCTATGTCAGGTGACTGTTATATTATATATATACATGACTCAATATATTGCTTCTCTTCCGTGCAGCTAGTTTTACAACGATATTAGCAAGTGTTCAAATAAAGCGGCGACAAATTATTGGTAATGTTTTATGACATGGATTACAGTGAAACGTCTTTGACTTGACACAAAGTAGCCTTGAAGAATACCACTAAGCAAGTTAGTCATTACATAAGACATTATGATTTTATTGTATTACGAGTAACTGATTTGAAGGAGGATCACATTGTGAAACAGGATGGTTAAGATTAAGTCTTTTCTGTATGTTTAATGAAATTATTGAGTGGTTCAAATCATTATGATTTGTAAATGATATTGGTCAATTCTATTATCTCAGACAATTTAGATATCAGAGACAACTGAGGTTTTATCTTTTTTGTTTTCTTCTGAAGATTTACTATCTTAGAATAATTCCTTTCAATGACTGTAACATATGACAAGTATAGTTAAAATATATTCTTTTTTCTCAGGTATAAAATAAAATGGACGGTAAGCGATTCATGACTACTTTCACCACAGGAGTATACAGCATGACCTATGTGAACAGTAAAATTTTCCAATAGTTGAGGCGAACAGAAGATAGACTATTTGCTAGTGTTTTTCATATTGAATGTCCACTAAATATTCGTATCTAACCTAGTTGAAAGGCTGTATCATTGGAACCATATTATTGTTTCTCATGGCCTATCATAACTTAAGGATTGCAATAATTGACTTTATTCATATATGGTATAGAGGAATGCAGTCGAGTAGCAAGTACTAAAGCAAACAGAGAAACCGTCCCCATTTTTCCAGTGAATTAGCTGGAAATAATAATTTTAATGGATTTCTAAAAGGGTTCCAACACCAGTCTGTTGTTGAAGACACTCTGATGTATTTTTTAAAAGTCTGATATCTTTATACACTAAGCATTTTAAGAAATAAGTTAAGGCTGTTGTGGGAGTATTTCTCTATAAGTATGCATTTTCTTGGTGGGATACTTAAGTGCTGAGAGGTAATCTCGTCAGGGAATACTGAAAATCTAGATTCTAAGGCATAAGACTTTAAATTTAGTTCTTCTAAATAAACCTGCAATTATCTATACGCAACTATTCAATATAACTCACTTGTGTCTGAAAGTTTTGGATAGTTTCTCTGTAATAACACCACGTGGTATCATTTTGCACAAATTAATGTGTATTCATCAGATTCCTAATTAACCTGTTTAGAGTTCTCGTCTCAAATCATGTGTACCATTGGGTCATCAGTGATCTCTTTATTAATTCCTGCTCTCATTTATCTTTCTTCTCATCGCGAATATTAATAAGAGATTACTTACAGTGCTGTTCAAGCTATGCATAATCTAAGAGAAACGACAGGAGTTGACTGTAGATGCTTCGCGCCGTATCGCGGAAATTTCCATCATCATTTAACTGCTCACTTTCACGTTCTACATTCTCAGCATGGCAGTGAAGTTAATAGGCTCTTGATTCACTTATATTCCTTGAGTTTTGTCGTTTTACGAAACCATATTACTTTTGATTACTTAACTACCATGTTATTGAGGTTTCCTTTTAGTTTACAGTAAATTGAAAAAAGATTATTAGTATATGTAAAGACTGAGTGTTTGATCCAAATATTTTGTTCTTCAGTCGTGAACAATTTCGAAACTTTGACTGAACTATTTGCCAAGATCTGGAAGTATTAAATTCAAATTCATTGATAAGCTTCATTACTTGCCCAGAGTTATAGAATGCATTTTACAGTACTAAATGCTCATATTTTTCTGAATTTTTGTTCCCTTTCTATCGTTTTTTTCATACTGACGTTTTGAAGGTACATAGGATGGCAGAACTTAGCAAAACATGTTGCTTCATCTACTTAGACTTGTTATACTGAGTTTAACCAAGATATATGGAATAAAGATTACAAGCTTCTACTGAACTGCTCATACTATATGTAGTAAAGGACCAGACAGTACATCATATTAAGTATCAAGTTTGTTTTCAAAAGGTGTAATGGCTTAATTCAATAGCTAAGCATGAATGCTCAAATAACCACAACTGTTAAGTAGAATTACGTTTGGTTCTTCTTCCTCAACATTCCTGATTGATGCTGTTGAAGTTAGTTTTGAAGACTGTCTTCCCAGAGGTGCATAAAATGAAATGAATCAGAATTGCTTGATTTTTTAGCTGTAACACTATTTATCCACCTCATCATCTTTTAATGGGCAAAGAAAAACGTTAAAAAATATTTCACTCAATGTAGAAGTGGAAATTACTCCGTATTAAATTTGTTTATTTGGTTTATAACATGAAACGGTACTGTTCTATCGGATTCTTAAGCCGAAAAAGCTTATGTTTATGTGGGTTTGTGGATGTAAATCCTACCTGAATCCCTACGTAAGTTTTCTGATGTACCTTCCTTATATGGTAACGCAATGGTGACACAAAAGATATCAACCTGAATCCGATAAAACCTCAAAGCCTACAAACTGAGTTGCTGTCCAGTGGTTATTACTGAGATGCTTCGAGATGAGATTCCATGAGGCGCTAATGAGAATTCGTGACTAGCAGGGCAAACCAATTTTAATGTGCAGATCAATACTCAACAACGATATTGGACGAAGCTCGTGGTAAGTGGTGGATTGACAGAAGTAAGAAAACATCGATCACTGGATTCCGGCCTAGCAGCTCAATGGTAGCATGGCGGTAACGAAACGTTAATGTCCTGTGTTCGATCTAGGGCTGAGTCGCGGATAGACAATGGTGAAAAGTCTCAAACTAGGACAAAACAGCTGTCCAACGCTCCCAAGTTTTCAATGATCCTTCAACTGTTGTCAGTTTGATGACAAATATGAACTTGAAATCCTACATTTTTGAGATTTTTAGATAACCGGGATATTAAACCGGCTGATATCTGTGGCCAGCATCTTCTCCACAGTGTTTCATATTTATGCGTAAAAATAAGTTTGAGAAGTCCCAAAAAATATTTGTTACTGAAGCTACTGTAAATTTATCCTAACATCATGGTCCTTGTCACGTCCTAATGATTATACGTGTTCTTATTTACTTAAAAGTGATACATTGTCTGTATGACTGACATTTAATGATATCGTCTGTCATGGCAAAGATACTACGGGAACTAATTTTCTACATGTATCTTTGAATTTCGATAGAAGCATAGAATAGAGTCCTACTTACAGCTGCACACTATAAGTAAATCGGGCATGAAAGGTGATTTTGAACAACCGTTTCAAATTATGATCAGTTTATTATACTTTCTATTGTACTCAGTGTATTTAGCAGATATTTTTAGTAAATAACATTAGTAGGTCTATCAAGTTGTTAAAACTGTGAAATTAAAGATTAAATATATAGATTCTCATCTGGAGAATCTTCAGCATTAGGTTAAATACTGTGTTAAAACGTAAGTAAAAAGAGTTACTTACTCTCCACCTTTTGATAGTTTGCAGCATACAATGTAACTGGATCTTCTGAAAAGTAAAGAGTATACACTATTTATACCATTCAGCACTGAACAACCGTCTAGTGAATCCAAAAAGATGATCAACAATAACATTGTGGATTTTGAATAAGTTTTCTTAAAGAAAAGGAAGCAATATTTTCCAACATTAGATGCTATTTATACTTCATATTGTTGTTGAAAAACTCAAGTAACTTGTAAATGCTTTGAGAAGAAAAATTTCAATAATGTTAAAGAAGAGAACAATAATAGTGTGATAAACCAATTAGTTGCATCTAAACAGTCTGCGTCTTCTTTTCCCTAATTTTATATAACCGAACTACTTCGTATAAATGACTCAGCTTATGTGGTTTCTTAACTTCATGATAGACATGGCAAAATCTGCACCAATAAGCTTAAAGGAATATCTATCAGCATATTATGGTCATTACCACGCCTGCGCTAACTTTGGAATTTTTTTAAAAATTGTCTAGCATCATAAGTTTGTACTTTGGAAACTAATGAATCTCCTGTCTCAGTGGCCTACTGAATAATGCTTTGGAGTTTGAAGCGGTGGGTGCTAGGTTCGTGTAAGAGTAACATCTTTCACTGGTAGAGAGGTACATACAACTTACAAGTTCCAAAAAAGACAAAATACTTGTCCTGGGTTCCATTGTTAGCCTCCACTAAACAAAAGCAAGTAATTTTATTTCTGTTAGTGTTTCACAGCCACGTCATATCTGTGTCTGTCACAGAATTCTTAGTGTTTACTAATAAATTATGTCAAGGGTGACCTCAAAAAGAAATTTTGCTAGTGTCATTTTGGAAACTAAGAGATATTTGGGAAACTTTGAAATATACAGGAATATAAACGTATAATATTTACTTCATATTTCACAAAAACATTCACAGGTATCAGTTACTAATAAGTTCTGGTTTCAAAGAAATGAATATTACAAAAGATTATAACCCGTTTTAGTTTGCTGCAAAGTATACTTGGGAAATACCTTCTACAATGTAGTTTCAGTATATTTTAACTCCAATAATCCTTTGTGCAAGACAATCTATTTTACACTTTATTTCACTTACTTCTGACCATTCTAGATGTGTTTTAGGATGAATTTCACTCTAAAAAAATGCTTTTTTCGTAGTCAGTATAAGAAAGACATTTTTCTTCTCATTGCTTTTTGTATTACAAGGAAAGAGTGATAGTTATTGATGTTCACCCTTATTTCATAGTGTCTTCATAAGTTTTTTTTAAATATCCTTTATTGGTTCTGCATTTCATCTACTTCAAATTTCATCATCGACATAAAGTCATCTGGAAATAAAAGCATCAATAGAATATTTTAAAATTTGTTTCTTAAACTGCACGTCTTTCATAGCGAGGAGCTTTGATAAATACATTTTACTATATAATTACACTCCGTGGTGCACTAACAAATACACACTGTAGTATATGTAGTCTTAAATCTTTATTGACTCGTAAAATAAAAGATGTTTAGCGAAGAGTCACTCCTTTCACCGATATCAATCTGGAACTATACAAACGGTATGCGCGTACGGCATTCAAATAGTACGTGGAAAAAAATTGACTAGTGTAGCTTTTTTGAATGAATTCTGTTTTAATTGTAAATCAGGAGATTGAGAAAATTTTTGCTTAGTTTCCGAGGCAGTAGTAAGAAAAATAAGAGCGAAAGGATGTGATATATGTGAAGACATGAAAGAAAATATTTTGAGGATAAAATTCGTTTGTAGGTAATATCCACGACAGCTCAAGTGACTGAATAGATTTTTGAATCCACAGTTCAGGCTTCAAAAAATTAATTACCAAAGCTTTCACAGTTCGAAGAATTTTCAGATGTATGCTGTTCATGAAGCTTCTACAAAACGTAAAGATGACATTGAAGTACTTTTCTGCATTTGTATACATATCATTCACAGTGATTCACAAGTAACAACTACTTGACAGTCTCTGTTGAATGTCTCTGTCTCCACAAAATCTGTTCATTCCCGGAAAATACTTTTCAGAGCATTGATCTTCTGAGACACTGTAAACAACTATTGTTATTTCCTTTTTCATGTATATTCCATCCGAAATAATATCAATGAGGAATAAAAGAGTGTCATAGTAGAAAAAAACAAAGCAGTTCTCTCTTGCATTAAACAGCTTGCTGTTGGTTTTTCCCCTTTATATCTGTTACTGAATGAGGTGAAGTTGAACCATGAATCTCAAGGTCATATTGACAGAAATAATACCAATACTGAGAATCCTAATTAAATAAGGTCCGTAATGAAGCCTTTTTTGTGTAGATGATTAACTAAGGACAAGTATAACCTCGCTGGGTTAACTAGTTCACTAGTTACTAGCCGGTCCAAAGCCAACATAAAGAGGGAAGGTTGGGCATACGGCTGCCAACCCTACCACGGAAAACAAATCCGAACGCCAAACAAACTTCAAAGCACAAACAAAATATAAAAAACAAAAATAAAATTATTCCTAGCTGGAATCGGAGAGGAGAAATGACCCCGGTCGGTGAAAGCCTGCCTTAAGGAAGCCAACTGGCCGATGTGGCTCCTCTCACTCAATGAAAGTGAAAGTAAACGTGGGACATGGAATATCTGCACCATGTTTGAACCCAGCAAGGCAGCTCACATTACAAACGAGATGAGGAGGTATCACACTGAAGTGCTTGGAATTCTCGAAAGTAGATGGAATGGGAGTGAACTCTCCAAACAGTCAACTGGAGACGAGTCAATAATCTACTCCAATATTGTCACCCAGACGACAACCACGAGCACACTGTGTATTAGAGTGGCTATCATAATGTCCTGGAGAGCATCGAAGGCTCACTGTCATGCAGTGGGAACCAATCTCCTCCTACAGGATCAGGATGATGAGAGCAAGATGGATTCAACTCAGAAGGAAGGAAGGTCACAATCATACAATGCTATGCTACGCACCAACAAATAATGCAGAGCGAGAGAAGAAGGAGGAATTCTACAGACAACTACAGTCAGCACTGGACAACGCCTCAGTTTGCAACATCAAAATCCATTCTAATGGGTGAGGTGACATGAATGCTGAACTGGGAGAAGACAACACCGGAAGAGAAATAACCATAGGTCGAGAAGTGCTCTGCGAGGTGATGAACGAGAATGGAAATTTGTTTACAGAATTCTGTGCATTCAACGTCTGGTGATCGGAGGAAGTGTGTTCAAGCACAAGGATATCCACAAAGTGACATGGATTTCACTAGATGGACACACTGCACTTAAAATCAAATCGACTTCACCTCAATCTCAAGAAGGTGGAGGTGGAGACGCAGTCAGCCTACTTGACGCCAGATCAGATGAAGAAGATAAGCAGATGTAGCTTCACACCACTCAATTCAGTATCTAGTGCAAGCAACCTACCTTCCAAATCAAGTTAAAAGCCTTCAAGGAAGCTGGTGATAGACCTCAATTCAAGTACAACACTTGGAAACTGAAGGATGAAACTACAATGGAAATCTTCACGTCAGCCAGTCATCAAAACAAAATGGGGGATATGGAGGAGCATCCCTGAAGAAATCTGTGTGGAAGAACACTGGAATTCTTTGAAAGCTATATGGAAAGAAACCTGCATAACCGTATTAGGAAGAAAGAAGATAAGGAATGGATCTGAATGGATATATGGAAGCTGATAGAGGAGGGAGAGGAGGATGGTGAAGCAGAAGATAAACCAGTGCAAGGATGCATAACGAGAAGAGGAACAACGTGTAACAACGTATACAACGTATAAAACACTACACTGGACAAGGAAGTGAAGAAGAGTGCACGGAAAGACAAAAGACACTTCTACGACACACTGGTAAGTGAAGCAGAATAGGCTGCAGGTAAGAGAGACAGAGACCTGACAACATTGTATCAAATAATCATGTTGCCATCTGGGAAGAGATCAACGCAGACGAAACCAATAAAAGATGATGACTAAAATATAATTACGAGAGAAACAAAGGAAACAATAAGCCCACCACTTCAAGAAGCTCTTGAATCGACCACCACCACCATCTGTACTTCATCCAGAAATATCACCTACAGCCGCTGAGCTATAAGTGAACACAAATCCTCCAACGAATATGTCGAAGTCCTGAACGCCACAAAGCTACAGAAATGCAGGAAAGCAGAAGGACCAGATGGGATCTCGCCATAAGCCCTGAAAACAGACACAGACACAACAGCGGACATGCTCACACCATTATAGCAGAAGGTGTGGAAGGGAGGAGGGTACTTGGCGATTGGAAGAAGGGTTGCCTTGTCAAACTCCCGAAGAAGGGAGACCTAAGCCTTTGCAAGAACTGGCGCGGAATCATGCTCCTGTTCACCCAAAGCAAGCAAAACATTAGGCCATATCATCTTGGAGAGACTAAAGGATGCACCGGATTTGAAACCACGAGCGGACAGGCAGACTGGATTCAGGAAGTACAAATCATGTGCAGACCAAATAGCAACGCTACGCTTCGCATCATCATAGAACGGAGTATGGAATGGCAGTCAACTCTCTACCTCAACTTCATCGACTTTGAGAAGGCCTTTGACAGCGTCGACCAACAAGTAATTTTGAAATTGCTTCAATGCTATCGAGTACCGCAAACATTTATCACCCTCAATCAGCAACTATATGAAGATGCCACATGCCAAGTAATTCAAAATGGGAAGCTCAGTGATGCTCTTGAAGTGAAGACAGGAGTGAAACACGGTTGCCTACTATCCCCCATGATATTCCTGATTGTGGTGGACTGGATCATGCAACAAAATGTGAGGAGAGAGAAGAGGGGGATACGCTGGACTGCGGAAAAGAACCTAGAAGATCTGGATTTTGCTGGTGACTTGTGCCTGATGTCACACAAACTTGAAGATGTACAGGCGAAGACTAACAAGTTGACAGAGGAGGCAGAGCAGGGCAGACAAGGAAGACGGGACTTCAATTGAACGTAGGGCAGACAGAGGTGATGAAGATATCCAACCAACAACAGCACCAGCCACACCAAGCTCCAATCACTATCAACGGGAGAAACTTAAACGAAGTAGTCTCCTTCACCTATCTAGGCAGCACTGTTTCAACTACAGGTGGCGGCACAGACGAAGATGTCAAAGTCAGGATCGGAAAGATAGCAAGACAGGTGTTCATTAACCTGAAACCAGTGTGCATATCTTCTGTACTCAGCATAATGCGTGAACGAGTTCCGGATTTTCAACAACAACATCAAGTCAGTGGTACTATATGGCTCAGAAATTTGGTGCGTTACGAAAAGCATTTCCAACAAACTACACACATTCATCAACAACTGCTTACGCTCACTGAACACTGAAGATCAGATGGATTGCCAGAAAGAATAAGCAACAAGGAGCTCTGCGAACGAACCAACCGAGAACGTATCACCCAACAAATATGCAGAAGAAAGTGGAAGTGGAGATGGATTGGACATACACTGAGAAGGCCGACTGGAGACATCACTCGTCAGGCTAGTCCCTCTAGTGGGACCCAGATGGTAAATGGCGAGTTGGGTGTCTGAGGAGAGGGTGACATGGAGGAAATCGTGTGAGGAAGAAATGAAAGCTTGTGGGCAGTTGTGGAGCCAGGTTGAAAAGAATTCAGAGAAGAGAGTGGAATGGTGATGTGCTACTGAATCGGTATGTTGCATTAGGAACCCAAGGGACTAATAATGATAATAATAAGGAAGAGTATTCAGAATCATAGTTTCCGCGAGATTCTTAAGAAAACATTACTAAGTAATGAAGATTATAATCTGAATTCGAACAGAGTTCACATCACAACTGCCTTATATATCCAGGGCTAATATTTCTATTTTTTTATTACTGAACAGAGGAAAGGTTTAGAGAATTAAAGTTTTTACATTTCCCAGCAAACAGTATTTTTTAAGAATCCAATATTGAGGGTTTTCTTTGACAGCTTATCCCATTTCCTATTGAAAGATACTTCTTTTTCAACTGTAAAAGACCCCCAGATTAAGAGTTGTCCTATTCAAATCAATAGGATGGTAGATTCACAATAATCAAACTGTCTGAATTGATTTCACTTAGGCAAATCAGTAAGAAAATAAACTTTTGAAGCATAAATGAGAGCCATGAATAATTCAAGTGTTACTGGAGTATTTCGTGTACATACTTTGCGCCAAGTGAAGACATTAAACTGTACCATTAAAAGATTCAAATTTTATGGTTTTGAATTTTACCAGTATGTTTAACGTTTGTACAGTTTTTTAAGAGGATGTAATTACCACTACACAAAGCTTTACTTGCAACTGATGATCTAGCATTTCAAAAAACCTTTATCCATTTCTGACACAAACATGAATATCTTTTAGGAATATCACGTCAGCCACTGTTCTAGGGATTAAATTTTCTATAATGTCAAAAACGTCTCAGCATGGTAAGGTAAAGGTGTGGTAAAAACCATTACCAGCTGCATTTTAGCGCGTTAGCTTAGACAAACCATGCGGTGAATATGAACAAGTCGTTCTGTATTATTAACCAGGTTCCCATCAAATTCCCAAAAGTCCTCCCGCTGCGAATCCTTCGGACTGCAGAAGCGGTGGCAACTAGGACTAAACAATCTGAGTTATATGTTAACAAAACGCAGACGTTTCCGTTATAACTACCTTCACTTCATTGAGGTTCAACAAATTATTTAACATTCTATATGAAGTAGTTTTATCACATCCTCCTAGCTTATCATGTTTCCCTGGCATAAATAAAAGTTTACTGAGATACTGTTTCTCGAATTACCTTTGTTTCGTGCATCTTCATAGTACTACGTAGGCCGTCCAACTACTTATGTAATCAATTATCTTGGATTGAACTCCAATGGTCATTAGCTTTGATGTTAACGTTCACAAAAGACTTTTCTAAAGAGAATTCCTTAACTGTTTTGTATAAATAACAAACCAGTAGATGAAGTTTCGATATTACTGACCTAAAATAGCCGATATGGACAAACAGCTAAAGGATGTGAAGAAGAAGTTATCGAAAAGAATTTTTTATTCATCCAAGTGACTTTTGAATATTATTAGACCTAATTTTACTGACATCTGGTGTTATTTTCATGTTGGGCTCGATATTTTATAGATATTCATATATTAGTGACAGTGAACAATACATTATTTTTCTGGATTGACAGATAATGTTCATACATTGGGGTTAATATACAATAATCTCAGGAGGAATAATCGAAAAAGAGATAAGAATATGAACCGTAGGATTTCGTAAGTTAAGAAGCACTTTCACTATGAGTGAAATGATGCGAAAGGCAGAGAGACTTATATATGTATATCAGGGATAGAAAGAATAATGAAAATAGCTTATTATCAATGTATATATTCTGTTACTTGTTTATAACGTTATTAAATCCAGAGGGCAATACATATTTGTGACCCATGATATCGTAAAATCCTTGCCGTCTTTATAGTGATAGTGACTAAATGTCCATGTAGACTACCCTGTTATCCCGTTAATTGCTTGACTACTGATTATAGGTACTTAACAGCAAAAAAATCCAGGACGTGCATTTCGCTTTATTTGAGACTCGTCAGCTAGATGTATATGACCTCCAGTGAGTTATAAGTTTCCCAGTAAAACTAGAAACTTTGTTCAGTTGATTCAAACGGTAGAGCATTATGCACCAGGCTACTGAGTCACTATAGTCACTCGTTGTGTGATGGTCACAGAGTAGCCTTTGATGTTACAACTCGTTGTTGATTAGACCAAACTGATTGGGCCCTATCGGTATATTGGCTCCTGTATGGATAATTCGATATTTCCAGTAGTTTCAGACGGAGATTCAAAAACCATAGCATGAAAAACTATACCATGCTCGTCGCACAAAGAATGGCTGTGGTGATTCATCAGCCTAGTGGATAACTATCTTTCTTTTGAAGTGACTGGTCCTGGATCTAAGTCTTTATGGGGAAAACATCAACTACTGGGAAGAAGGTATATCCAGCTGACAAGTTCTAAGTAGAAGGAAGGGTGCGTCATAAATCCCACAACCAGCCACTATCCATTATCAGCATTACAAATGAAGATGACGTCATTACTGAGGAATCACATAGGTGCCTAAATCTCGATAATGGTCAGTCAATGAAGAAGATTTACAAGTTGCAACATTAAAATTAGATTGCCTATATCTTCTTTATGGGTAGTAGGGAAATCAATTCTCATGAATATCCAGTTATTAAATGTTTCATACACCAAAAAGTGAATGAAGTTCACTATTCGTGAACTAACAGTTACATTCTTGGGATTATTATGCTTATCTATAATTTCAAACGGCAGTCACTGAGTTGTGAACTATTTTCAATAGAGTGAAAAGGTTGGCTTTCATCGAATTTCAGAAAACTGAAATGATTAACTTTCTTTCAGTCATCAAAATAAGTCGCTGAAAAATCAGTCAACATTATCTTATGATTTTTTATAAATAAATGGTATTTACCAAGCAGATTTACCATATTTTTGAGTAGCTGACAGTATTTTACCTTTTTCCTTGGATATTTACACACTTTTGAAAGGTTTGTTATCATGGATTTCTGTACTTAGCAGTAATAACAGTCGGTAAGGGCTTAGTAACTTTAGAAAATTGTCTGAAATTCATAGCCGTAATATTTGTTGCATGCTTTGAATAAAATAGAAGTTGAAGTAAAGGGCTATCCAATTCAGCTGTCACTTCAAAAGGGGTAAACATTTAATATGTACCTGAGAATTTGTAGATTTTCAAACTTACCTCCAGTTCTTTGAATTTAATATCCTACCCAATGTTCGTTCTGCTCTAAAATAAAAATAAAAAAACGCTTTACAATTCGTTTACAGAATTTTTAGGATGTTTTACATCAGAAACATTTGGAATATATGAACAATTCATCTCTAACTCAACCCCATCATTATGACATACAAACTGATATGATTATCGATAGTATTTCAATGATAATTTGAAATTACTCAAGTGTATATGAAATAAGAAAACAAAAATATTTAACTTCTTCCCGGGAGAAGCTAAGTTGAATGCATATTCAAACGCATCAGCATTATAATTCCCAGTATACTACTGATAAACTTGAGTAGTTAGAAACCATTCTGGTTTACCTGAAGATAGCATTAGCCAGATAAGAATGATCTGATCACTAGTTTTGCTCGTTTAGAGCTGAGCTCACTTGTAGTGTACTAGAACAAATCCATCTGATGCAGTAAAATTAGTTCAGATCATTTGAATCCGTCCAGCTAGCTGACTTGCATGCACCAACTGGTATACTTAAAATAAGGTAATCAAGTTCTAAATACTTTTCAAACTGTGTGGTGTATTTCAACATTCTTCACAGCTGGGTAGTTTTTTAACTGCCGAACTGTGGTGATCTACACTTACATGACTGTATGAGACGAACTCATCCGTAAATGAGTGGAATGGCCCTCCGGTTTCTAGATCACTCTTATTTGGTTGATGAAGCCTACGGATTATCCTCAGTTGTTTGTTTCTCTCCGCCCTAAAATTTTCAGTAATCATTTATTTTCTTAGTTTATAACACTTTTATGTCAGAGACCAGACCTTATGATCTTGACTGGCTGATTTTCAACGGAAACCCTATTGTCACTGCAGGTGAACAATTGAAAAATTACTCGGCTATGAGAAATCTCAAATTGGATCGTGAAATTTGTAAATCACTTGCAGATCCATTAGAATCCTCATTTTTGTTGAAAAGAAGGTTGTCTGAAGCTTCATTCAGTAGCTTTATCTCCCAGCGTCGATCTAATACATGACAGTGGCTACTGCACATTTAGAACCAAGTGTCTTGCAGTACTTTAATCACCATGTGGTTTAAAGTAGTCTGTTAAACTGCATTCAGTGATTCAAAATCTACGCGTCTTGTTATTCAGAAATCTTGATTATCTACTGGATTCTAAATGAGGTCGAGAAGGTTAACAAATAACACTTTTGGTGGTGTAGATCAGAGAAGAAACCAGATGAGAAAAATATCTTGACAAAGTAATAATGATATCATGTGTGACTTGGGATATTCATTATAACTGATAGTCAATATGGCTGAAAACCTGTGAATTATAACAGTATCTATGACCTAACTGTATTCGTCATCTTACCCCACATCTCTAGAGAGTTCATGCCCATGATAAGTTCAAACATGATGAGATATGAAGAAATATTGTTTCTTCTCTATGAAATCATCTTTGTTACTATTTAAAAATAGACTATGTGAACTTATCTGCATTGAAAGAGAAGGCTAAGTTGGCTTCCGCTAGCTTGCGTCCTCTCTAGCATTGTCATGAAATCTGATCCCACTGAGTTATAGTCCGCTCTGTCCTACTGTATGGCTGCGAAAAAAACAGATGACATGAGGAGGTTTAGAGTGTCTGACCACTGTTGGCTTCGCAGTATAGGCCGTGTAACATGTGAGTAACGCAGAAGCCAGGTGTAGAATTTCACAGAGGATAAGAAAGTCAGTTGATAAGCGTAGTGAAACTTCATCGACTGAGACGTCTGGGACATGTGTCGCGCAAACCTAGCTACTGTCTGCCTAGTCACTCAGTGTTTATTAAAGTAGCTTTAGGGTAGGTAGCTGGGGTGGCCAGACTAAAACATAGCATCGATTCATGAAGTCTTTGACTGGTGGTTTGAGCCTTGTTAGAAGATGCAGACTGGCCGTTGGAGTCGGTGGGATAAGCGAAACCAGTGGTTGGCGACTCTGGGTGATATGACTCAGATTTAATGTCATTACCGCAGATGTACAGACACCTTATCTTCTGAACAGCCATAGGTAATTCTACCTTGTCTCATTCTTTCATCCTTTCTTTTATTGCTTTCTGCTGACTTTGACCGATCATTTTCTCTTTCTTCATCTCAAATCATAATGCTATGTTGCCTGTTGCGTTCATACAACCTGTGGCCACTTGGAAGGCTGTTCAGTAATGCCTGGTCTTACGTTGTTATTAACTGACCAAGTGGCAAATGAGTTTTATTAACAGTACCTAAAGCTGCTTTTCTAACATCGCCTGGTTAACTAGTTCACTAGTTACTAGCCGGTCGAGAGCTCGGATTAAGAGGGAAGGTTAGGCATAGGGCTAGTAATCCTACCCATAAAACCAATCTCATCGTTGAAGAAACCTCAAAGCACTAAGAAATTATAAAAAATAAAAACCAACTTATTCCTTTGGAACCGTTGATCGGGAAGTTAATTTGGAAACTACTTCAGCACTACAGCTTTAGTAACACCAGTTTTTATCAACCTCATTCAACAGCTATATAAAAAAGCCACATGCCGAGTGATTTACAATGGAAAGCTTATTGACGCATTTGAAGTGAAGACAGGCAGGAGTAAGATAAAGTTCCCGCCTACTATCATTGATCATCAATAATACACTGAGGCTAATACAAACTTGCTAAAATTGTAGGAGCAAAAAATTCACTAACTCCATCGTGGTGATAACTACGGTTAACCAATTAACTGATTTTGATCTTTTAAAAACTGTTTTCACACACTAGCTGGATTGGTTTAGCTGATTTAGTTAGATAATGATTATTATTATTATTTGTCCTCTGGGTTCCTAGTGGAACATAGAGCTTCAGTAGCACGTCACCATTCCACTCTCTTCTCTGAAATCTTTTCAACATGGCTCTACATTTGCCTACAAGCTCTCATTTCCTTCTCGCACGATCTCCTCCATGTCACCCTCAGTTGGGACACCCAACTCGTCGCTTCCCATTGGGGTTCCACTAGAGGGACTGTCGCGTGATGACCCCAGTCGGCCTTCTCAGTGTATGTCCAATCCATCTCCACTTCCTTCTGCATATTTGTTAGGCGATAGCAAATTATCATTTAAGAATGATCCTGTTAATTGACTGAAAAAGGTTCACCTTGAGTTCATTTTCCCTCAGTTTTCATACTTGTAATTTAGCTGTTGAACTGAAGGTATTTCTAATTAGAAATTGTTTCATTTCTTCACTAAATATAGGTGATATGAATTTCAACATGACTAATTCTACATAAAATCCTGAAATTATTCTGCTTTAAAGGAATAAACTGTTAAATTTTTCTTTAAATATTTGAAAATTGGATCAGAAATTGAACTGGAAACCATCCAGTTGTTTTGCTTATTTTGACAAAGCAAACAAACAAATTGATTCGACGTTCATTCAGTAACTTTTTGTTTAAATAAATCTGAATAATTTTTTTTTCTTTAAACCGGAAATTTAAAATTAATTAGTTGATAACTAAAATGCATAGGTTATAAGTTTAGTATACTGAAATATAACATTAAATAAACTTCAATGATGAACTGCGATGAAAAGTTTATTTACTATATTTGTATTTTAGTGATCAGGGTAAGGAACAAAATACAGATATGCAGGGAATTCCCTAGTTTAATTACTTTTTGCAAATAAGCCAAATGAAGTCATCTGAAAGTGTATTACGGAGACGCGAATAATGCTAACGATGTCAACCATTCTCAGCGTGAGTGTTTATTTTGTCTCTCTGCAAAACATCACAGCGTTTAGTTATTAATTGGCGTCTATTAAGAGCGAGGTGACTACCTAGGAAGAGGTCAATGCAGATGAAACTAATGAAAGATAGTGAAGGAAACTTAGAAACAAGGGAAACAGTGGGCCAACCACTTCAAAAAGCTCTTGAATCGACCACCATCTGCAGCTCGTCTAGAAATACAACCAGCAGCTCAGCCACAGAATTACCTGTGAACACAAGCCCTTCGACAAAAGCAGAAGTTGAGTCCTGAACGCCATAAAACTGCTGAAATCTAAGAAAGCAGCAAAACCAGATGTAATTCCGCCAAAAGCACTGAAAACAGACGTAGTCATCAGCAAATATGCTCACACTACTGTTGCAGAAGTTTCGAAAGCGAGGAAGGAAGGAAAGGTACTTGCCCACTGATTGGAAGAAGGGCTACTCTGTCAGACTTCCAAAGAACCTTAAGTGACCTAAGTTATTGCACGAGCTGGTGCGAATCCTACTCTCTCCCTGTCCACCCTAAGCAAAAGTTTAGGCCACATCATCCTAGAGAGACCACAAAATGCTTTCGATTCAAGATTACGACCAGAACAGGCTGGCGGGTTGACTGGCTGGCTTCAGGAATAATAAATCATGCGCTGATCAAATTGCAATGTTGCGCAACGCACCATCGTAGAGTGGAGTATAGAATGGCAGTCAACTTGAGCTTTACCTCAACTCCATCGACTCTCAAAAAACCTTTGACAGCGTCGACCGAGAAGAAATTTGGAAACTGCTTCAACACTACAGCTTTAGTAACACTAATCTTTATCAACCTCATTCAACACCTATATAAAAAAGCCACATGCCGAGTGATCTACACTGGAAAGCTTATTGGCGCATTTGAAGTGAAGACAGGCAGGAGTAAGACAAAGTTCTCGCCTACTATCACCGATCATCTTCCTGCTTGTGTTCAACTTGATCATGCAGCAAACCGTGAGAAGCAAAAAGAGGAGCATACGCTGACTGGACAGATGAAAAGACCCCAGAAGAAAATTAGGATTTCGACGATGAAGATTGATGTCTAATGTCTCACAAACTCAAAGATCTAAAGATGAAAGCTAACAAGTTGGCAGAAGAGGTAGATCAGCGAAGAAGAGATTTCAGGTGAATATAAAGAAGACAGGCAGGATGAAGATACCCAAGCAACAACAGCACCAACAACAAGCACCAATCACCATCAACGGAAGAAATCTAAAGAAAGTTGTCTCTTTCGCCTGCCTACGTAAACAGCATCCTTTCAACTACAGATGGAACA